TGGAAGGAGGTGAAAGCGCTGTCGCCACTGACCACCGCCCGCCCGCTGCCCCGCCTGGCGCGCCAGGCCTCCTTCGACAGCCAGGACTTCCTCCAGGTACTGCTGAGCCGTGCTGTGCCCGGCCTGGTTGCCCATGTGCCGGGACCCCACGTTGGGGCACCCGGCCTGGCTGTGGCCGGGGGCATGATGGGCTCTGCTGCCCGCCCAGCCCTGCCAGCGCGCAGCCAGCTCTGGGGCTGCTCTGACGTCAGCCACGAGCCGGGCTGTATCCTGGGAGAAATCAGTCCACAGTGCCTCGTTGCCATGGCAATGCAATTTGTTGCGTGCCTCCAAATCCTGCATTGCTTCCCCCCCGTGGCCCCGAGCTCGGGGCCTGGTGTGGTGGGATGGACAACAGGGAGATGCAATGGGGTGCCCTGGCATGGCGGATGCTGCCAGGGAGTGGGCACTGGGGAGCCTGGCCATGGTAGCCTTGCACGCGCGTGTGTCTGTGCGTGCACAAGCAGAGGAGGATGCTCCGTAGCACCAAGTAGCACAGGGTGTGCACATGCGTGTGTGTGTGTATACACATGTGCAGGTGCGTGTGTGCAGTGAGTGCACACGTGTGTGTGGTATGTACACACACAGAGTGTGCACAGTGAGCATGTGTGTGCGAGCAGTGAGTTCACGTGTGTGCGTGGTGAGGGGGGCCCTATTGCAGTGTGCACGCGTGTGCAGCAAGCACACACACGTGTTTATGGTCAGTGCACGCATGTGAGTGTTAGTGTGTGTGTGTGTGTACACTTGGTTACGTGAGCGGGCACGTGCAGGCACGTGTGCACCAAGCACGTCGTGTGTGAGTGTGCACAGTGTGTGTGCAGGCAGCAGCAGCGCACAGGTGCGCTCACAGTGCGGGAGTGTGCGCACAGGCATAGGTGTGCGTGTGCCCATCGCCCTGTGGGTAGTGCCTGTGACCATCCCTCTGCACACGCACGTGCGTGTGCCTGTAAGACACGTGTGTGCGTAGACAGCCCACGCCTCCTGCGGGGCACCCTGTGGGGTGGACACTGAGTGGGGCTGAGCCCCCTCCCAGGGCACAGGGCTCCTGCAGGGGTGGTGGTGACAGGCAGGGGACAGGGGATGGGCAGGGTGGCTGGGGGCCGTGACGCCCCTGCCCACTCTGGCAGGTCAATGTTGAGGACACTGTCGAGATGCTGCCCAAGTCACGGCGCGCGCTGACCATCCAGGAGATAGCCGCCCTGGCCCGCTCCTCGCTGCACGGTAACTGCTCAACCGACCTGGGGCGCAGGGTGCCTGGGGGGGCATCCAGGGAAGATGGGGGTCTGCTGTGGGTGAAGAGGCTGGGCATCTTAGGGAGGGCTTTGGGATCACCCCTCTGGGACCTGGGGGGCTCAAGGGGTCCCTGGTGGCACCCAAGAGGAGGGCATGGAGATGGCAGGTTGCAAGGGCTGGAGGCAGGGGTTCCAAGAGTCCCGGGCTCCTTGGGGGGGATCTGACATGCCCAGGGGGTGCTGACGCGGGGGCACATGTTGCAGGCATCTCGCAGGTGGTGAAGGAGCACGTGACAAAGCCGACGGCCATGGCGCAGGGCCGTGTCGCCCACCTCATCGAGTGGAAGGGCTGGTGCAAGCCGGTGGAGCCACCCACTGCCCTGGAAAAAAGCCCACGGGGGGGGGGGCGAGCAGGAGGCACGCTTCGCTGCCGGTGGGCACTGTGTGGGACATGGCAGGCAGGCATGGTCCTCCACCACGGCCGAGGGCAAGGGTGGTGGGATGGGTTGTCTCCATCCATCCATCCATCTATCTATCCATCCATCCACCCACCCGTCCATCCATCCATCTGTGCCACAGCACCATGGGCACAGAGGCACCAAGGCAGGGGGACTTTGGGGGCATCTCCCAGTGTGCGTGTGACCCATGCCTGTCCCGTGCCAGGTGTGGCGGAACAGTTTGCCATCGCTGAGGCCAAGCTGCGAGCCTGGTCCTCAGTGGACGGGGACGACTCCAACGATGAATCTTAT